TTAAGCTAGCTGTCCTCGTAGCCAAATCGCTGTCTTTGTCTTTACAAATATCGATAGCTTTTCGCTAACTTAAAAAAGCTAGCGATCCTCGTGGCCAAATCGCTGTCTTTATCGTAGCGATTATAGCTAGCTATTCGCTAGCCGACTTCCCACCGGGTGGAGACTTTTGACAAAATAAAAATTGTAATTAAACCATGATTACCATCTTTGTGCTTTGTGTTTTGTTTTTTTTCCATGAAAAGTTTTCAGTTACCATGAAACCTAATGTATTTTCACTATTTCTTACTAAATCCAAATAAAATAAAAAAAGTATTTTCAGTTTTAAGATGTTATTATTTTAAGATTATATTATTATTAGCAGAACTCATTTTAAACAAATATCAGTATAATTTTGAAATTTACATATCTTATATTTAATATTACTTTTGTTTTTAAAATAAAATAAATATAAATTGGGCTTTTAAAGCATTTACTTAATGATTGTGTTACTTTTATTCTGTTATAAAAGTTTGATTCATTTTATAAAATATATGACATTCTTCTACTTAAAAATTAACTGCAAGTGGAAAACTCAATCATAACATTTATAACTCGAGTTTAAGTTATTTGAAAAAACTTTTTTGTATTGAAATCATTTATTAACTACAAAAGCACATTAATCAGATTAGTGTTAAAAAAAAAATGTAGGAGCCAGAACTAACTTTTTCGCTAATATCTCGATAATAATTTGTTCTGGAAAGTTTGATTAACATGAAACTTATTTTTTAATTATATATATTAACATTTAGGCTTCAACAAAGTTTTCGCATAATAATCATAAACTAGTTAATCATTTCTAATCGACGTTCAGTCTATGATCAATTCAAAAAACTAATGATAACGAAAAATCTTTTGTTAAAAAGCAAAACTGAAATATACAAAAAATGTAATATGTAATATAAACATTTTAAAGAAACTTGAATTATATTTATTAAAATCTTTTTTTTTTACTTTATCATAGTTAGAAAATTTTAGCAGTATAAAAAATTTTAAAATGAGGCGTTTTAAAATTTTTTTAAAGTATTTGAAATAATTAATGGATAATGTGCATCACAGTAATTTTACCTAATAACTAAATAAAAAAAACAAAACAAAAAAAAACACAGTTTCGTTACTACTGTAACTTACAGTTACTCAATTGTTAAATTTACTTAATATACTCACAGATAAACGATCAGGGTTGATATTTGACTGGGGCTGGGTTTGTGACTGGGGCTGCATAAACATTTATACATCCTAATTTTTTTTTTCAAAATACATGTTTGATTTCGTATATATATGTATTATAAACATCATTATGATCAACTTGATCATGATCATCATCATAATTGTCATCATCATTTTCATTATCATCATCATCACCATCATTACCATCATCATTATTGTATTTGCCATCATCATCACCATTATCATCATCATCGCCATTATCATTATCATCATTATTCCAGCGTTGAAAATAAGGAATTAAAGGCCAGCAGGCAATTTGACTGGCCAACTCAAGGATTTAACAGTAATTGTTTTTTTTGGACGGTCAAAATTTTTTCTTTTTTCTTTGTTTAAATCTTAGTAATCTTGGCAACGGGTTGTTAAAGCGAAAAGAAAAAAGTGTTCTAAAGCAAAAAGGTATTGAAGCGAATTTATATAGTTCTTTTATAATATAATATAGTTTTTATATATATATTTTTTTAATGTTGTTTTTTTTAAAAAATTTTAAAATTCAAATCAATAAATATTTTATCAACAATTTTATATTATTAATTTTAATACTTTTAAGTATATTAAAATATATAAAAAAAATTGTTTTTATTAAAAAAATTATTCTAATAGTTAAAGTTTGCTGATAGAAACCAGTAACTTTTTTGCTTTTTTTTCTCTCTTTAATGACCCTGAACCATTCTTCATTACTAGACTTTATAAATACAATAAAAAGTTAAGGCTTGAGGAAATAAGCCTTAAAGGATAAAATTGTTTTAACAATAAAAATTTCAAATAAAATCAATGCTTTTTTTAAAAGTGCAAAAAGGCAATTTTTAATTTATTTACAAATAATTCATTACATTGCAATGACTTCGCAAATGATCAGAAAAGTTGAACAAAAAATGATAGAAAAGATTGAATGAAAAAAAAGTACAGTTGAGATTATGTTCTTTATTACATATAATAATTTCAAACAATAATAAAATAAATATCTGAAGTTAAAAAAGAAAAACTTTCGCACATTTTATATCTCTTGCTCATTAAAAACATTTCAAAAACCGCTAATTAGTTAATAGTAATGTTACTAACTCTTGTTTGCAACTTTAACTGTTTAAACTGAATGTTTAATACTTTCATCTTCTTAATATTAAATAATTTGTTCAATGAAACACTATAAAAAATATTAAATTTAGATAAAACAAGATTTTTAATAGATCTATATGTATATTTTATAATAATCCTGTTATAAAAAAAAAAAAAAAAAAAAAAATGCTTAATTAGTAATTTTTAACTTATCTATAAATTAAAGTAGCGTATCATAAACAAGAAAACTATTTAGAACCCTTTTTCAAAACTCAAATAGTTATATAAAATTTTATTATATGCATTTTCCAAATAACATCCTGATTTTTGGTTAAACCTTGCTTTTGATTCTCTGATTTTTTTTTTAACCAGTCAACCATGACCGGCAAGAATTCATTTTGGGAGGTCAAAATAGCATTTTTAGTCATTTCAGGTGGTCATTAACCGTTGACCAGCCGTTATTTGCTACGCTGTTATTGTATTCATCATCATCATCATCATCATCATCATCATCATCATCATCATCATCATCATCATCATCATCATCATCATCATCATCATCATCATCATCATCATCATCATCATCATCATCATCATCATTAGCAGCAGCAACAAACTTTAGCCTTCCTCTTTTATGCTGTTTCTCTAATCATGCTCAATGCTCAAACGAGCTATTATCTCTATTACAATAAACAAAATCCATTCTTGCTTGGCTTCTTATTCAACAAGTTGCATCCATTTACTGTATCTATCCCTATTTATTTAATACTGTCATAAATATATGCCAGAATTTAATAAATAGTAAATGCAAGTATAAAATTATAATATATAAAGAATTATAAATTTATTTCTAGCCCCGGCTATCAACCCCTGCTAAATCTTACAATTTTGTCGGGGCTGGATTGGCAAAAAGCCTCATTTTATGTCTGGGCTGGGACCCCGGTCATTTACTACTCAAAGACTTGCAAAAATCAGCCATATAAATGTTTCTGTTTATATCTTATGTTGTTAACACATAATATAAGCTAACTAAAAATTACTTTAACAAGAAATCTCTAATAGGATATGCAAAACGCAATACTATTTTTTTACATTTTCATTTTATTTAAAGCGATATCAAGATAAAACATTTTCTATAAATACGCAAGTTTTTAGGAATTTTTTGTTTTTAGGAATTTTTTTTTTTTAAAAGAATCTATTTGAACAAAATAATTTTACTCTTCTAAAATAATTTTGCTATTGAAATTTGAAATAAATAAAAATTTTTAAAAATATAAAAGAACTTTAAAGTTCAATAATTATAAATTTAATTACAGCAATGTCCGTAATACCCATTGGCATTGCAAGGCTCATTTCAAACCAAACCATTAAAACAAAAATCAAATTATAAAAAATTTAAATTAAAAAAATATATATTTTATTTCAGTTAAAATAAACTTTTTTCTAAAAAAAAAATTTAGGCATATACTTAAACTTAATAAAATACAATTCAATTTATAAAATCAAATTTTTTTCTCGCTTTTTATTAAAAAACAATTTGAACGAAAAATGAATTGAATGAACAAAAAATGAATTGAATGAAAACGTTAACTTAAAAACTATTTGAATAAAAAAATTAAACTTAAATTTTTATAGTATGTTTATTATACTTGATTTTTTAATAATAATAGATCAAGAAGCAATAAATTCTGTGTGCAAAAAAAAAAAGGGAGACGAGCCATTTTATGAGATATTTAAAATTTAAACTTTTTTCCTTTATAATTAATAATATTATTATACGAATGCCCTTGTATTTATAGAAAGCGGGCTATTCTAGACCGTTTTCTATAAATAAAAGATTTTCTTTTTAAAATAATCCACAAAAGCTAAAGTAAAAAAATTTATTGATTCTCAAATTGAGAAATGTGGAATTGCTAAAACTATTCCTCCAGAAAAACAATTTATAAATTTCTTTTTAATTAACTAATCATAATAGATGAAAATTTAAACTCTTTTATCAACTAATATTTAAACTACTATATCAATTAAGAAGTAGCTCAGTGTCGAGCTTATCTCTAAAAAGCATAAATAATTTGGAAAAGATTTTATTATTAGATAAATAAAGATAATTTGGAGTTAAAATATAGTTTTTTCTCAGATAATACACTTGAATAAATTTTTGAAAAAAAAAACTGCATATTGGTTATATAATGTATATAAAATATATACTTTTTATATTTATATATATATATAAAAATGATAGGATAGAAACTTACCTGGCAAAGAACTAAATTCGAATTGATTTTATAAATTTAGGATTGACTGCAGATTTTTCACAATAATGAAATAAATACTGTTTATTGTAATTAAATAAATTAAATTGCCATAAAAATTATAAATGTAAATTTTACAAACTTTATACAATTATATTAATTAATTAAAAATTTAAACTAAGATCACAAATAAGATTGAAGGCCTTCAACTGTCTTTGGGCCAAAAAAGCCAAAAAAAAAACAATTTTTGGAATCTTTTTCAACTATTTTGTAGACTAACAAACAGAAAAAGCAAGACATGTAAAAACATGTAGCATATATATACAAATTTTGTAAATAAAAATGTTGAAACTTGGAGTAATGGTTGTTAGAAAAAATTATTTACAAAATATTTCAAAAGAGATGTCTAAAATTATTTATTTAAATTACCTTTCCAACCATTATAACCATATCAATAGTTTCTTTTCTTCTATGGGGCCATGCAGAAACACTTTCAACTTCTACCCATTTTTTTAATGCCTTAACGTAAGAGTCCTAAAAAGAAGATTTCTTTATAACTTATAAATTAAAACATTATAAACAATTAAAAACAAAGAGAAGTTTTAAAAAAAATAAAAAATATATATAATTTTAATTTTAAAAACCAAACAAAAAGTGTTTGCTTTAAAAGAAAAAATTTTATTAAAAAAATTTAACATTTTAAACTAATTAAAAAATTTTTTTTCTATTTCCACTCTAAGAAAACTGACACACCCATCCAGTGCATTTTTAGTAAACAAAAAAGATTTCGGAAATTGTAAATATTTGTCATTATATGTCAAAAAATGACAGTAATTAGCTACCAAATTGAAAGAAAAATTTTTTATATGGAGCACAAGTTATAAAACTATAAATTATTTTATACCAATTCCCACTTTTTTTTTCTTACTAAATAAAATAGTTTTTTAAGATGGTATTCACAAAATTGAGAAATCATTTCTCTTTCATTTAAATGTAGTCTTATTGACAAGATTCTTATTTTAGTTCCTCTAAATGTTAGCTGAGCACTAATTCATTTCTAATTCAGCTGAGCACTAATAATTTCTGGCCAATGTTTTGGTATAAGATTTGAGCCCACTGAGCATATTCTACAACTTCATCAACAAGGAAATTTTTCTCTTTTAGATTTATATAAAAGACATAAGGATCAATAGCAGGATATTTTATGAAATCTTGTGAAGTAAAACTTAATTAAAGCGAAAATTCTGTGCAAAGTAAAGCTTATTAAAAAATTAATCAAATTTAATGATTCCTGAATGCTTCTAAACAGCATTACACACTGATAACTCCAGTCTATGATTAGCACAACACCAAACAATAACAGAAGAATATTTTTATGTGAATAGGGTAGAACAGGGCATATAGGGACACTAAAGAAACAAATAAAAGTTGCAGATAAAATAGTTAACACAGTTTAATTGAAATTTCTTAAAATTCATTTGTAAAAACAAAAAACAATTTCTAAAAAATAAGCTATGACAATCAAAGTAATGAAACTTTAGACTAACAAAATTTTTACATTTTGCAGGTGGGTAGGGTTAAATGAGACAGTTAAAAAGCAGCAGTAAATTTGTTAATCACAAGAAAAATATCCTGAAACTATTTAGCAACATTTTTGATGAGCTGGCTTATTAGCAATAAGTCAATATGTATTTTGTAAGCAAATTTAAATATACCACATGTATCAGCAGCTTTTCTAAAGCTAAGCTCCTTTTTACTCACAGCTAAAACTGCTTTTAATCCCATTTTGGACAATTGATCTTATATAATTTCTTAGAATTGTTATTTACATTAAACACTATTATTAATCTAAGTTAAGTTATAAAAAAACAGTTTCTTTAAATTTAATAATAATAAAATATTGCTTTTCTAAATAAGTATAATAATTTAGATTAAAAACAAAACCATCAAATTGTAAACAGCATCATAAAACAGTAGTAATATAGTCAGTTAAATAAACAACTTGTTGTCTCAATATGCCCCATATAAGTCATTTTACTGAAATTATTACTATTCATTAAGTACAATTCCAAATATTTTTTTAAAACCAGATTCTAAAAGAGGATAAATAACTTTTTTTGTACATAAAGCAAATTAGCAATAGTTCAAGAGAAGTCTTTTGCCATTGAATTGCATCCAGAATTGCAAATTTTGTTTTCCACAAACTTACTGGATGCATTTTGGTACTTTTAATGCATTTTGATATTTCCAAAATTAAACTTTTTTCTACAATAATGAAGTGAAATAACTTAAAATGGTTTATCAAAATTTTTTTTAGCTGAGATATAAGGCTTCAGGCATAACTGTCCCAATAGGCCTTGCTCAACCCAAACTTCTTAATGCTGTTCCTGCATCCTAGCAATACTTCTGCGCCACCACATGCTACAAAAACTAAATAATTTTTTTAAAGATTTTTCTGTCATCATTTAAAGGGATCCCAAACCTCCAAGACATGTTGTGTTCATATTAAAGAGAATGATAAAAAAAAATGTTTGGGCTAAATTTTTTGATCAAAACAAAATAATATGAATACTATATAATATAATAATGAATACCAAGAAAAACTAATTTTTTCTTTTAGTCAAAGCATTTTATTGTAGGCCTAAAAGTCAGCATAATATATGCCGCAATCTACAGACTTGATAATTTATTCAAGCACGTTTTATTCCTTAGAGTTTCAGTATATAATGCCATTTTTTTTGTTTGCTTTTCAAAGCTTTAATGTATACCAAGTCAATTTTTGGCTTAGACTGGTTGACTTATTATTCATTACTAAAATCTTACTCTTTAAATTTCATAATTTCTGCAATAAATTTTCCTCATTTCCATAAATAAATGATTGACAATACTAATAAATGCATTTGAATGCAACACATTTTAGTTCTGTTTAATTCCTGTTGATCAATTTCCGGGTTAAAGTAATTAAAAAACAGATTTTTTTTTTAACTTTATATACAGTACAAAATATGTTTTCTCTTACAACTTTCTAACACAGCAGCTTTCTTTTTACTTTCTTACACTTACACCTTTTTACTTTCTACATTAACTAAGCTAGTGCTTTCTATTTTTGTCATTATAAGATATTTTATTATTGGTCCATTAGATATTTGTCATTATAAGATATTTTATTATTGGTCTATAGGTATTTTTGTTTACATTTTGGCTTCTACTCAGGGTGTTAGCCAGCCTGATGGCACCATGTAAAACACGGTATATTATTAATTATTAACCAATATTTATAAATACAAATTTTTTTTTTAAATTTACAAATAAAAAATTTACTTATATTTAATGTATATTTGTAAATTGAAAAAAAATAAAATAATTTTGTATTTAAATACATTTATTTACGATTAAATACCTTATTTACTAGATATTTAAATATGCCCATTAAATTTAGTTGATGCCCTCGTGCAGTGAAAGAATCTCGTTCCCTAAATGTCTTTGTTACTTACTTAAATTAAAGTAGCATATTGCAACAAAAGTTCTTTTAACAAACTTCATATTTGACGGATATCAACAAGCCAATCAAGTTTTTCAATTAAAAGTTATTAAGATCTTGAAAACTTTCATTTAACTTTCATTAAAAAGCTCTCGATTAAAATAAGTTTTTAAACTATTAAATTTATCAAATGATAAAAATTATAATATAAAATATGATGAACAATAACATGAATATTGTAAAAAAGTTTAAAAACTTTTTTTAAGTATTTTAAAATACTAAAGTATTTAAATACTTATATATTCAAACATGTTTCTTCAGAACTTCAGTTTAAACCTTTTAAAACTGTATTTAAAAGTGATGTACGCAATTAATATAGATAAAAGTTTCATTGAAATTTAATAATTCATTCATTAAAACTGCAATTAATTGTCTTTTGTTCTTGTTTTCTCTCTACTATAATGCAGCCATTTTTCAAAACGCAGTAAGGTGAAAAAAATCAATTTTGACATTTTTACAAAATAAGCTAGTTAAGATGTCTAAAAATGTTATTGAATACATATTTTCATAGTGTAAAAAATTAATAAAAATTATTTGTTTCAAAAAACGTTTCTCCAAATAATTTTCTTTAATTGCATTCTTCTCGAAATAGGTATAAGCATTTTAAGGCGTTTTGAAAAACGGCTGCAGTATATCAAACAAAGAAGAGAAGATTTAAAAATGAAAACTTTAGAAGATTGCTCATAATGAAACAAGTTCAATAATTAGAATTAAACATTTATAAAGTAGAAAAATAATCCTGCTGTAAGTATAACCCAGTAAAAACAGAAAATTTATTTTGATTTTGATCAAAATTTAATTGTATTTAAAAAATGTGAAATTTATCTGCTTTTTTAAATGTCAGAATGTAATGACCTTTTTTTTTTTTTAGTCGCACCTAAATTCCCAATTTGGCAAAAAATCTGTATGAAATTTTTCCTGGCTAACACCCTGCTACTACTACTTATTTATAGGGCCAAGTGCCAAGACAAGTTAAGCTCATATCATAGATAAACATTAAAAAATAAGTTAAAAGTTAATTAAACTTTCCAACAAAAATTATTGAATGAGATGCTAACAAAAAATTTGTTGTTTCGCCATTATACTTCCGGTTGAGAGCCTAATTTTAGGCTTTCAACTGGAACCTGCATCATTTTTTCTGTTAAAAAAACATCTGGTTTCAATAATGAATGTTTTTACTCACCACAGAGTTTTTTAAACTCAGTTCAGTTTTACACAATTAGATCGGGTATTCCCCTTCATATTTGGTTCATATACCTTCATATACGTTCGCTATAGCATGTTTTTGTTTTTTGTTCAACATATCATTAAAGGGATCCCCAACTGCCGAGACAAGTTGTGCTCATATTAAAGAAAATGTTTAAAAAAGAATATTTGGGCTAAATTATTTTGATTAAAACTAAATAATGAATGCACACCATTAATTTTAAAATTCACACTTTAGTCTAAGCTTGCGCCTCTACTTTTTTTTTGTTCTCAGAGCCTGTATAATGTTAGCCGCAATCTGCAGACTTGATAATTTATTCCATGCGTGTTTAATTCATAACAGTTTCAGTATATGACGCCATCGTATAATTTTTTTCTTTCGAGATATCATATTACTTTTTTGCCACAATCATCAAATCATGTTAACTGTATAACTTTTTACTAAATCCCAAAAAAAAGTTTGTGATACAATTAAAAATTAAACTTATAAAATTTATAAAAATAAAAATTTAATATATAACAAATATTTGCAGTAAGACGTACTGGTTTAAACTAAATATAAACTAGATACTAAAAAAATAATTTTACTAAAGCATATAAATTAATTTTAAGTATTAACTGAATAAAAAACTAGTGACTTGAATAAAACATATTAACTGAACCAAGTTGTAAATAAATATTAAACAAATTATTTTACTAATAACTGTACAAATCAAACTAAATAAAAGTTAAAACAAATATTTGTACTATAATATACAAAAAAAAGTTATAATATAAATATAAAAAGGAAGAATCACATTCAACAGAATCAACTCTTTTGCTACCAGCTGAACAAAAATCTTTTTCGTTTTATATTGTTTTGAATAAAATTTGAATGACATAACATTAAATATTAATCAAAATTTGAATAGTAAATCTCTTTAAAAGCATAACAAACTATATATCAATAGAAAGCTAAATAAATGTACTTTTTAATTAAATTTTTTAACACGCATCATTAAACAATAGGAAATGCAAAGTGCTTAAAGGGATCCCCAAGTGCGGAAACAAGTTGTGCTCATATAATAGATAAACATTAAAAAATAAGTTTAAAACAAATTAAACTTTCCAAAACAAATTATTGAATGAGATATTAACAAAAGCATTTGTTGTTTTGCTATTATACTTCCGGTTATAGGGTTATTATTAACCTTACAAATCCGCATAGTTTTTTCCATTAAAAAAACATCTGGTTTCAACAATAAATGTTTTCGCTCACCGCAAGTATTTTAAACTCAGTTCAGTTCAAATGATCTTATATATATTTTTAACTTATAATGATGTAATATATATATTCCAGATATATATAAAATTTATATTAAAAACTTGAATATTTTGTTTAACCGCTAAAAGGGAAACTTGTGAAATTTAAGTTTTTTTAAAAAAACTTTTTGTATTGACATCAAATATATGCGGATTAATCAGACCTGATTTTAAAAAAAAAATAGTCAATGAGCCGGAACTTTCCTTTGCCAGAAACAAAATGGCGTTAAAAATGAATTTTTTTTTTTGTTAATATCTCATTTAATAATTTGTTTTGGAAAGTTTTATTAACTTTTAACTTATTTTTTAATGTTTATCTATGATATGAACACAACTTGTCTGGGCACTTGGGTATCCCTTTAAAACCATTGTTTTTATAAATAGTAACTAAAACATTATGTCCGAAACAAAACTCATTTAATGAAAAATAATAGTCTTCAAAAGACTTTGGTATTACTTAACTAAATACTCAACACATCTGTAAGTTAAATTTTACAGTTTTAACGCTGTTTTGATTTAAAACTAAATTTAAAAAAAGTTTTTTTTATGAAGGACCGTTCAAGATTTTTTAACTCTGTCAAATGATAACTTTTTTATAGTTACACAGTATAGCTCTTATTTTTTCTTGATTATGTAGAGGATTAATTAAACCTTTACAACAAACAAATTCTGTGTCAAGAATAAAAATTTATGTACAAAACAAGATATTCATTCACTATTTAGTTTCAATCGAAAAAATTAAGCCCAAATGTTTTTTTTAAACATTTTCTTTAATATGAACACAACTTGTCTCTGTAGTTTGGGACCTCTTTAAGAGTTTGTCTTGTCTTGTCACAACTTGTCTTGGCAGTTGGGGATCTCTTTAAGTGTTTGAGTTAGAATAAACTAGCCTAATAAAAATAGTAATTAAGCAAAGCAAATTTTAAAATACACATGATGAATATTTTTCTTATAAAATAAGTAATCAATTTTTTTATATACAGCCCTAAGTACAATATACAGGGTGTCTGTCAATATTTTAAGGTGGATTTTCCTGACTTTTCCCTGATATTTCCCTGATCTTCTACCTGTTTTACCTGATTTAATTTAAAGTTACCCAAACTCAACTTCACAAAAATTGACCTAGATTCGTTTAGAAAAATGCTCTTCGACTGCAAAAATAAAAACAATAATACAATCCACATTAAATATATCATGACGAGTTCATAAAACTATCTGTTAAATAAACTTTTATATTAGGTGTACCATATATACATACAACTTATTTAAGTTAAGATTGATGAAAAGCAATTTTCACTGATTTCTCCCTGATTTTTCTAAAATTTAAACTAATTTCCCTGATAATCCAAGGATTTTTTTGCAGATATCTGAATTCCCTGACTTTTCTCTTATTTCCCTGATCTGGCAGACACCCTGAATATAATCCAACATTTGAAAGATATAAAATCTTTATTTTTTTATTAAATTCAGAAAACCGTTTTAAAAATGATCTCGTACACATTTTTAACTTATGTTTATGATAATTTATATTTCTAATTCAAGAAACCATTTTTAAAATGATTAATATATATTTTTTAGATATATATAAAATTGATATTAAAAACTTGAATCTTATATTATCATTGAACAACCAAAGGGGACACCCTTACCATTTAAACTTGATTTAAGTTTTTTAAAAGAAACTTTTTATTGACGTCAAATATAAGCGCATTAATCAGAATGGATTTAAAAAATAAAAATTGTCAAAGAGCTGGTACTTTCCTTTGTGAGAAACAAAATGGCGTTAAAAAATAGGAAATTTTTTATTAATGTCTCATTCAATAATTTGTTTTGGAAAGTTTAATTAAGCTTTAACTTATTTTCTAATGTTTATCTATGATATGAACACAATTTGGAATCCCTTTAAAAGTGTTTTCACTTTTAAGCAAGTGGTAGTAGTACTTTTAGAACTTTAATTTTGGAAGTGAAACTTCTGGTTTCTAAAGACCATGTAAATCAGCATTCAAAATCAGCATTCAAAATTGGTCATAAAATTTTAATAAATCAACTAGCACTCATGATTTTGAATTCCTTGCACAAGTCTGACATTGGATCATATTGATCCAATAATGAAACCTTATGAGATTGGATCATATTGACAATTTTGTTTTACTTTTGACATTCAGAAATGAATAGAATACTTTCTTTTTTTTTTTGTATTTATAAAAATTAAAAAAATTCATTTTGATATATGAAAAAAGAACTAGTAATAATAAATCAACGCACCTGATTTTGATCAACAAAACTAAAAAAAAAATTAATAAATTAATGCAACAATTAACAAAATGAAAAAAAATAAAAATACAAAAATTTAAAAATTTCAGATTTCTTACTCATAGAAGTTCTGTAGTACATCTGCCATTGTTTGCTTAAAATGAAAATTGACTTCAAATAGGAAAGTAATATTACACCTAAATACAAAAAAAAAAAAAAAAAAAAGTTAGATACTTGCATGCACATTTGCAAAGAACAAGTTAGATATGTCCATACACTTTCGTTCACTTTTTTTATTAAAAAAATTTTAACAAAAGTGTATGTAATTATCTAACTTATGTAAATTTTATTTATTTGAATTTATTTGCCATTTTATAGTCTTAAAATAATATAATGTTTATTAAATAGTGTTAAAATGTTTATCAAATAATACGCCTTAATGACCATAGTGATTAGCTCGCAGCGTTTCTAAAGCAGATCACTGCATTTCAAATCCTAACACTAGAACATTACTTATTCTTTAAACCTTTTTTTATTTTTAAAAATACAAAAAATATATATTTTTGAAGTTATATAGATGATATACACATAACATATTTATAAAGATATAATATACTATAACAAACAAAAGGCAGAGAATTTTTTAAAAAATTAACATTTCTAAAAACATCAAACAATGTCATGATAGAGATAATTATGCTATTAATGTGCTAAGGTAATCAGTTCTAATAAGCTGTGAATGATCTTCAAAAAATGATGGTCTGAAACTTAATAAAAAAAAATTAATGAGCCTGTCATGCTAATTCAGCAAGAAACGGTAATTCACCATTTTATAAACTTTTATTAACTCTATGTATGCATACATTTGATTCTTAAAAACAACAATAAAAATTATATAGTTGTTTGTTTAAACATGTATATACATATTTGTTTTACATGTGTATACATTATACACAAGTTTAAAAAGAATAACTTCAGATAACATTTTAAAAGGTTCGTGTTTCGGAGTTATAGAGTTGAGAGAGGGTTATAACCACTACTAAGTAGCCTCCTCGTCTGTAGTGGCCTTCTCGGCCTTGAGGAGGTGAATAAAAATAAAATAAAAATAAAAATAAATTAAAAAAAAAAGAATTTGGTTCAAAAATCATAAAGATGTAAACAGGATTGCAGAGTCCTAAGCTCCGGACTCTGACTTTAAACCTCTGTTTTTTTCTGGTCTCTGGTGTTCAGAAGCTTTAAAAATGTTGGTTGATTTAAAAATTTGACTTTAAAAATTCATGATACTTAATGATTTAAAACTAATTATTTTTGCCACCATTATATATCAGGACTCCAGGTTCAAAAATTGGTTGTTCCTGTAAGCAGACTCTGCGCAAGGCATTCCGAAGGTGGGTGAATAAATATTTTAGCGCCTTAAAGTACCCGACTAGCTTTTTTTAAAAAAAAAAAAAAAAAGATTGAAATATTAATAACTTTATATAGAAAATATAAACTGATTATTTATAAACCATCTACCTAACTTTGGCCAACTTTCAGTATTTTGTTGTTTTTTGTGATTGCTCATCATGTATTGTATATTTTTTGATGAAATAAACTTTGTATTGTAGTCTGAATCTTTCTCTACCTCTAAAGATGCTTTAACATGTTATTGTTAGTGTATTAGTCTTCGGACAGCGTTTTGTTGGGCATACTTTTTTTTGCATTTTTATAGGTTTCCAACTTTTGCCAGCATTTCTTACCAATTCAAGATTTTTTAATGAAATATGAGGCTTCTAAGACAGAAAAGGATGCCATTTCTGATAATACATTTATTTTTTATCTACTATTGTAGATAAAAAATAAATTCAGCCGGCTAATGTTAAGGCTCAAAATTTGCAAAAATAACCTAATTTTGGCCACCATAACGTTGTTATAATGTTGTTATAATGCAGTAAAAGTTATGTTATGCTTCTAAACGTGTTTTTATTTTTTATAGGATGTCTAAAAAACACGGCTATATTAGCTTCTGATCAAGTTGAAAAAAGTGTCAATGACAGTGCCTTATCTGAATTGCTGATGAAAGTCCTTCAAGAAACGTGTTACAACAATGAGTCAAAAACAAAAAACGGGAAAAAGTATAGCAGCTTTGTCATCAGTCAATTCCGCCCACGATTCTCCAACTTCTAGCGCAAAAGCCAAAGAAAAAGACAAAAGAGATGCCAAAAAAGCAAAAGTTGTTTCCGATTCTAGTTCAGAAGAAGAGGCAGAAAATCAGGATGGCAAAGTGTCCTTGGTTGAAAACATTTCAACTTTGAAGGTTGAAGAATTTTTAGCCGTTGTCTACGAAGAGCAGCAGTGGATTGGAAAGATAGAAGCTGTTTCATTCACTGAAAATGATGTCAAGATAAAGTTTATGCATCCAAATGGACCATCTGCCTCTTTTAAGTGGCCCGAAAAGGAGGACTTCTGTTGGATTGGCTTGGAAGATATTATTTGCAAGTTGAACATTCCGCCGGTGCCTAAATCATCTCGAGCTTTAGCTTTGGACCAAGAAACAGCTGATTCGATTGAGCAGCTTTTCCATGAGGATTAATCTCTTTTTTTGTGTTGACCTCGTTTGTTAAACTAAAATTATGCAGAGTTTATATTGTGCCTTTAAATAAATAGATTATAAAAATAATTCACTTTTGGAAAACGGTTTTGAAGCTACAATTTCTCAAGTGATACTAAAGAAGCTCTTTGTACCATTACCTAATATATCATTAGAAAACAATTTTAAAATAAAATTACTGCTGTGGTTGAATAACAAGTTTAACATTTTGTGCTTTTTGTTTTAATTACTACAATAATTATATTTTCGTAAGAAAAATTATACTTTAGCAAGAGCTGTTAATTGTTCCCGTAAACTGTAAACAAATAATTTACAAAAATTGTTACAAAGATACTTTAGTTTAGCTATACATTCATTTATTAGCTATTTTACACTGAAAAATTTTAGCCAGCCAAAGTTAATGAAAACGTTCTTAACTTTGGCCACCCATTTTTTTTTAAATAACTCAGCGCATATGCATGATAGCGCAATAACGAGCTATCAGCATGCAGGCCGAGTAGAACCCCATGTTTTAAGACCATTTACAGGCTGGTGCAAGCTCTACTTAAAAACTTACACTAATTTGAAATTTAAAAGTGGCTAAAGTTAGGTGAATCTATGGTATATATATTTATATTATATACTACTATATTCTGATTTTATATTATTATAATCAGAATATAATAACATATACAAGAGGAAATTGAAACAATTTTTATTATAACTGCATTATCTGAAACTTTGTATCTGCATTACCTGCAAATTAGTATTTGTATGCATATTAGAAAGATATATGTTTACAGGATTATTGTCTGTTTTGATTAACATTAGTGCTACTTACTGTTTTATAAAGTATTTAGTACTTCAAAATAAAATAATGATTTTCTTAGAGGAAAAAAAAAGATAAACAAATTTAACTTAAAAAGAAAAATTAAAATATTGAATAAAAATATTATCTGCTGAAAACATAACAAAAGTTTATAAAGCGATGCTCGTGTAAAATATTACAAATGTTTAACTATATTTATGTTAATATAGAGGAATATTTCATAATACCTTTTTTTTTCATACCATTTAAAACAAGACTGTTTTAATAAATTTCTTTTTACAAGGTACTTTAAATTATTTAGCTTTATTTTAATGTCTAAGCAATCTTTTAATATACTGCATTAACAGAGTACATTGATATCTTTACTTTAACGAAAGATACGTTAAAACAGACCAACTTAGCAATTTTTAAACAAAATAATATATTATATTATGAAATATAAAAATAATTTTGAAATAAAAAAATAAAACATTTCATAATATAAAATCAGCCTGTTTCATATTTGAACTTTAAAACAAAAATTTGACAATTTTCAAATTAATCTAATAGAAAGAAAATTCATAATCATATAAATGCCATAATTTGTTACAATTGTCAAAGCTATGGACATATTTCAAAAAACTGTAAACATGATGAACCTACCTGTAAATATTGTGCAAGAAACTATGAATCTTATAATTGTGAGTATCAAGACAATTTATGCACCCACTGCTACTTGTTTAACAAGGAAAATAATACTAATCATCCATGTGACCACTTGGCACATGGGAGACAATGTCCGATATTCAATGAAGTAAAAGAAAAAGTTAAGTCAAGAATCCAATAGCGACCAAATTTAACTAGAGAATTTAAATATGTTTTGTTAAATATTGATGGTCTTATTGATAAAAAAAGTGAAATTGAAAAATGTGTGGAATAAGCCCGAAGTTATTGGTTTAACTGAAACACATGTAACAGATATATATTTTGATAATGAGATTAAAATTGATTATTACACATCCAACCCTCGGAATTAGAGTCAGCATTTGACAATGCTGACCTAAAATTGTTTGAGGTCAGCAAAAAAATTGTTTACCTCGTTTTTATGTCAGACCTTTGTATCAAATAATTTTTGCCCACCTCAAAAAGATTGAGGTTGGCAAACTATTGCCGACCTCATTTTTTGGAGTTGCACATCCAAAGTGTATTATCTTCTAGTACACATACTGGGGGATGTACACTTTGGATTAGAAAAGATATCAAAGTCTAAGATTTTAAACAAATTGTAGTAGAAATGAAGTGGTGGATTATGAGTGTTTTGATAAGAGTTCTAAATAAAACAATTTGGGTAAACTGTGTATACAGATCACCATCAAGAAACAATCATGTTGTATTTATAAACTTTTATGAAAAGTAGATAAACACAATTGAAAATAAATATAAAGATATCATAGCTAACTCAAAGAGTAAGAATTGGCGATCAGTTATCTAACTACCCTGTGACGGAACTACCCTGTGACGTAGGTGTGCCTCAGGGGTTAGTGCTAGGACCCTTATTATTCATAATATACATGAATGATATTAACAGTTGTACCAGATATTTAGTTGTGAAACACATAAAAGAAAAGGGATGTTTATAAATAGTAGTTTCGCGGAATTTGAACTCTCTTTATTGTGATTTTTATTGTGATTTTTATTGTGATTTTAGATTTAAATGAGCTAAATATATTAAATTAAATGAATATATAAAGTTAGTTTCAAAACATACACAGACAAAACACACTGTGACGATATCGACAAAGATATTATTATAATTCATTAAACTTACTTTACTCTTGTGAGGCTAATAACCCAATTAGGTGATATCTTTACAATACATACGTTTAGGAGTTATATTATTTGCCAAGCGTCAACGCGTTGATCGACGCATCGAAGCATAGCGAAGACAATAATTTAAATAGGTACATAATTTGTTTATTCAAATATTTAAGGTTGTACTTGGTTGAAAGATTCAAATTCTTTATTTTTTACCATTTTTTGATATTTTGTGATGTTTTGGTACAATAATACAAGTAACAAAAAACTTTGGGTTTAGTTAAAAAAAAAAAAAAAAAAAAACAATTTTAGCGCCAAATTTACAAAATGGTCACTTTGCGGTGCGTCAATCTCAGAAAAAATGGTAAAGTTTTTACAGTTTCTTTACATTATTACTTGATTGCATTACTAGATCTGAGATAACTGAACATTAAATATCTTGCCGGTTATTATTTATTATTGCATAAGATGCGACACTTGCAAGTACAACGCATATTTAATTCTAAATTTAAGTATATTGACGTCAAGCTAGAGTTGTTACTCCTTGGCCTTGACCTCGGTCTTGCCTTAAGGTCAAAACTATTTCACTAATGATTTCTATTGTTAAACATTCATAATTATTGAAATATGAATTGGATTCAAAAAAATTTTCTCAGCCATGCCATGTCTCTGTAAGAGCTCTGACATCAAAACTGTAATTTAGAATATTCAAAAGTTCTTTAAATTTTTCGAAATAATGTTGCATGTTTTCATAGGCGCCGGCAGGGGGTGCAAGTAGGTGCACGTGCACCCCCTAGCTTTTGAAATAAAAAGAAAACGGAGGAAAAAAATAAAGTAAAAAATCTTTCAATAATAAGAAAAAACGCGAAAAAATAGTTTTTATTTTAAATTTTTAAATTACAATTAGACATTTACATTTTACAACTTACAACTATACATAAACAGTCATTCACTTTGTTTCTAAAAGAACAACTCAAGCCTTCTTTTTTGTTGTCCAAACTTGTCTACAACTTTGTTGATAAAATTTGGACAATTATTTTTTTTTGTGTACACTAAGCATACATAATACACTTAGTCTATCGTCACTTATTGTAGATCGGTTCCAAGTTTTGACGCACCGTAATGTGCTAAAAGATCTTTCAATACTGCAGGTTGGTGCAGGAATTGTCATGCCAATCTTGAGTACCTCAGAAACAGCTAGATTTATATTTATACTAATTTATATATCAGTATAAATGACTGATTCATTATTCAGTAATTACTGACAGACAAAAAGTTACTGACCAGTCAGTCACAATTTTAAATGACTGAGTCATAAATAATAATCGTGGTTTGGGCTCAGGTATTTAGTAGGTGCATACATATACAAGAAAAGTTTTTGTTGCGTGTGGGGGGGGGGGCGGAGGTGCAGAAAGAAAAAAATCTCTTCATGCACCCCCTGAATTAAATCCTGGCGGCGGTACTGCATGCTTTGTATACTGATATGCGACATTTGCGATGCAACATTGATATGAGACAGAAATTGAATTAGATTGATTTATTGTAAGTGTCAATATATATACTTTTAATTTTATTTTGGTGCCCCTACGGTCTTATCACAGAGCACCGCGGTTGATAATATAATATAAGATGCATTCAGTAAATTCATTTGAGTTTCATGAAAAGTATTTTGATTTGCATCAGAAAAATTATTTAAGAAGTTATTCTGAAAAAGATCAAACAACAGTTTTTAAAAATCTTTGTTGTTTAAAACATCTATGAAAATTTAGATAAATATTGGAAAAAAATACATATTAAAAAAAATAGTTTCAAACATTAAAATAGCCAAATATAAAATGACACCTAATTCTTACTAAGCTCAATAACCTGTTTTAACTCCTCCATCATAGTTGTCATCTTCACTATTTTGTATTAAATTTAACTTTATCGAAAAATTTCAAATTTCATTGAATAACTTTTTGGCGTTTAAAAGTTATGAAAATGTGAAGTTTTCACCCTCTGAAGATGAGGGGATTGTAAATTTTGTAAAGCTGTAACTTTTGAACACTAACAGGTTATCTGATGAAATTGGAAATGTATCGATAATTTTAAATTTAATATAAGATAGTGATTAAAATTGTTATATCAACTCTTTGCCCTTGCATGTGGGAAGAATGGTGATTTTTTGGCTATTTTTGTTCACAGGCTCCAATTACAGCAATTTTTTAGGAAAAAATTATAATTTGACACAGAATTGTTAACAAGGCGAAAGTAGCAAAGGCAAGGCCGAGGCCAAAAGTTACAAGGCCAAGGACAAAGCCAAGAGTTTTAAGGTCAAGGCCAAGAATAAGAGTTTCAAGGCCATGGCCTAAACAAACATTTCAGCAGAACTTAACGAAGTCAATTTGAAAATATACTTGTAGATATATATGAAAAACGAAAACAAAAATGCATAAAAATAAAGAATGAAAACTTTTAATTCTTTAATTTTAATAGGAATACAGGACAAAACTATGTGGATCAAAAACTGCGCGATTGCGTATTTTTTAAGATATATATAAAGAATAAGAAGAAGAAATAGCAACTGAAACAATTTTTATTGAAGAATGTGACACCTTTTTAAGAATGAATATCATTGTGTTCGTAATTCAGAGAATCTAATTAATTTATAGATATTCTTTTTGTTTTCTTTTTTTCTTTAAAACTGCTAGAACACGTCATTGCACAACATATTTGTAAAGAATGAGATAATTTGATCTGCTAGAATACATCATTACACATGATATTTGTAAAGAGTGAGATAATTTGAACTGCTAAAATGTATTAACACATAACATATTTGTGAAGAATAAGTTTCAACTGGGTTTATCTTTATTTCATGAAAAATATAGATTTTTATTATTATAATTTTTCGAGATTTAAAAAAAAAAAATTGTAAAACGGTCATATCTTTTTTGGAAGTCCTCGAATGATTTCAAAAATTCGTAAAAATCACCTCCACATATATACCTAAACTGTGAAAATTTTTGGTATTTTTTCTCTAAAGACATATAAAAGTCTATGTTCTGAGAATATTTGAGAACGTCTATGCAGTGTTCCAGAAATAATGGTATTCGCATCTCTCCATTAAGTTTAACGATAGTGAAAATTATCATTTTTGGTTCATAAAAAAAAAGATTTTTCACATAACTCATGTATTCTTTTTCTTTACAATCTTGGCGCAAACTACAACCTGATAGCAAACAATAGTTCTGAAAATAAAAAAGATGCTAATGGAACTAATCTTTATTTTTTACTACTTAAAGATAAAAATTCACCCAGGGTCTGCTAGATACTACAGTTGGATAAAAATTCACCCAGGGTCTGTTAGATACTACAGTTGGATAAAAATTCACCCAGGGTCTGTTAGATACTACAGTTGGATAAAAATTCACCCAGGGTTTGTTAGATACTACAGTTGGATAAAAATTCACCCAAGGTCTGCTAGATACTACAGTTGGATAAGAGTAGAGTTATCTTTATCAATGGAAGCCATTAGAAGAATATTCTTATCATTAATTACAAGTTGAACTTGATATCGGTTCATTTTGAAACCATTGTTTGTTTTTCTCTTCGAAATTTTTGAGCTTTTGCCTATATGCCACCTTTGTTAAAGATGCTTTATGAAATTAAACTTTATTATTAGAAGTTATCATTTGCAGTTAATTTCATATCATTTACAACTGCATCCAAAATATTGGGATAAGGTAACTTCAAGTTTTATAGTATTATATATGAATAAGTATCAATATTTTTCAAGTTTTAACTAGAGGTGTACCGGATATTGAACTTTTCTAAAGTTCTATAAGTGTTTATGAAGAAAAAACAAATCTTACCAGTCTACAATAAATAGTATTCAAGATCTTACTTTAAAAAATTAAGAGAAAAACTGTATGACATGGGATATGTGCTGAAGAAGTATAGAAAATAGTATATGGAAAAAAAAAAAAAAAAAATTTGACTGTAAAAACAATTTTTCATTATACATTATTAATATACTTGTGTTATACCAGTTTTTTATTTATTTTATTTTTTTAAATCTTGAACACTATTTAATGTAGAATGGCAAGACTTGTTTTTTCTTCATAAACACTTATAGAACTTTAGAAAAGTTCAATATCCGGTACACCTCTAGTTTTAACTATACAAAAATATGAATTACATTTACATAATCTTATAAATAGATATTTTAAGATGTATTAATTATAAAACAAGTTTGTAACACTATACTTCCATGCTCTTCAAAATGATTAGAACATGTAAAACGACTTACATTAGATATAATTTTGATTGTGTGATTTTGCGTAATAAAAGGATTTTTTAATTTATTTTTGTTGGTGCACCAATAAATGTTAGCGAAATTAAAATAACAATAAAGGAGAAGAGTTTAAACCAAAATGGATTAACTAAAGATTTTTGTCCAAATAATCAGGCGAATGCTCTTTGAAATTTTACCTTTCCAGATTCTTTACACGATTTTTCTATATTATATTTTAGTCAAAGAGGACGCCACGGAACAAAGTTTTGGAAATGTTAAATGAATTTTGTTTCGTTCATGATAAAAAATGGAAAAAAAAAAAGTTTGTTTTAATTAAATTTAGTGACAATTTGTTTGCTATAATTAGAAATACTATATTTACTGATTTAAAAAATAATTTTACATGAGCTAGAGCATAGAAATTTGTATTATTAGTAAACACGATTGTGTCTAATATATTACAAAATTAACTTAGATCATTAATATATATTTGAAAGACCCTTGCAGAATACACAAGCATTATTCGTATTGTTAGTTTTCCCAGAGTTCAAAGAAATATATTGCTGTTTATTCGAAAAGTAGCTCTTAAACTATCTACAAAATTGTATGTTTAATACGCTCTTTTTTAGTTTAGTTAATAAAATATAACGATTGATCGTGTCAAAAACTTTGCCTTAATCAATAAAAACACCTAGAGTATATTTATTTTCATCAAATTCATTTCAATCATTTCCACAAGATTTAAAGTTTATAATTTTTACAGGACCCTATTTTTATTCCATTTTAAAACGCAAACAAGAGTGCAACGAAGACCTTATAACAATTGTTTTATTTATAATCTATGAAAACAAGTTTCAATTCTGCTGTTTTTTTCTTTCCCATATGTTGGTTTATGTAATCTGCAATATTGACCTTGCTAGAGAAAGAGGCTATTTAGGTTTATTTAATCTAAACATAAAAGTTAAGAATTATGGTGATTCAAA